TTTCCTGGTTCCCATACCCTTCTGCTGCTAAAAGTCTTCCACGTTGTCCAGCTTCTCAGAGCTCCTTTCTGTCTGCTAGATTGGACGCTGCCTAGTTCTTACCAATTTTTGCTCAAACTCTTAAAAACTTTTAATATGCTTCAGTTTATCTCTTAACTGTTCCCATATGTATTATTATTGACTGCAAAAGGTACAAGTGCAGAGGAAAACAAGTGTATTATATTGATTTAAATGACATTAGGTGACATATTACTACTGGTATTATTTAGAAAGTTCTGAATGTTTCTTGGTAAAGTTCTCCATAAAAAGAGGTACATTTTCCCTTCAGTTTATTCATTAGTTTCATTCTTAGAAAATTCAATGTACATTAAAGCCAAGGAAGAAATATTTAGTGTTTATCTTTTAAAGGAAGTTACATTGATTAAATCTATCTTTACTAAACGCTTTATTATTTTTTTCTTCTTTTTTTTGTTTTTTGGTTTTTTAAAGTGAAATATAGTCAGTTTACAATGTGTCGATTTCTGGTGTACAGCATAGTGTCTCACTCATACATATACATACATATATTCCTTTTCATATTTTTTATGAGAAGTTACAAGATATTAAATACAGTTCTCTGTGCTATACAGAAGAAACTTTTTGTTAAATACTATCTTTGTAACAATCAAAAAAAATACCCTCAGAAATTTCCAGCTCACCCTCAGGGAATGATCCTGCCCTGGGGTATTGTTGCCCTGGGAGGTCTGTGAAGGTTATCCTCTCCTCCCTCAGGCCTTCTCAGTTCCTGCCTACCCCTCCCTCCTACCTTTCTAGCTTAAGGGGAATTCCTGGACTAAAGAGAGACTTCTTTGTAGTATTTTTTTCCCTTAGAAATGCTAATGAATTGAGGAGATTGCTAGATCTGATTGTCTAATAAAGCCAAATCTTGACTGTATTTTAAATGCTCTTAAACTCCCCAAGTCTCGCAGGTTCTTAACCATTCCTTTGTAGTGATTTTATTTTCAGAGGATTCTCTATATTTTCTATAGGGACTCTCCAGTAGAAAAATCCCAGAAACATGCTGAGTGACCCTATTACAAATTTACAAGTTTCCAATTTCAGTTCTCGATCTATGTCTTTTCTCAGGTCAGCTTCTCCTGTTTCTCTCAGAATGATCCCCAACCCTTACTTCTTTCTTGAAGCCTTCTAACCCGTCTATTACTCTAGCTGAAAAACTCAGTTCCTACCTCAGTGAGGTAAAGTTACATGATCCTTCCATTTTCTTGCTTCTCTCACTTGCCGAAAGTCTGTACAGCAGCGTGCATCCTGGCACCTCGTCATGGAGGAAAATAACAGAGACCCAAGATGGAGTGCTGAATGGAAGTTTTTACTGCCGGGCAAGAGGATCCCTTATCAGGACAGTGTTGCTGTGAGCTAGCACTGAGTGGGGCTGGAGGGCAGGCATCCTCTGTGTTTTTTGTTTGTTTGTCTGTTTAATGCAGATACTGGGGATTGAACCCATGACCCTCTTGCATGCTAAGCGTGCGCTCTGCCACTGAGCTATTACCCTCTTTCCTCATCCTCTGCATTTTGGGGGTTTCTGTTGCAGAAGCAAAATTTCCAGCTGCCTTTGCTTCAAGCTACGTGGCCAAACCACGATTCGAAACCCCCTTCCTTCTGGTGAAAACGCCATGCTTTTGCCTCCATCTAGAAAGAACCAGGAGTATAATTTTGGTCACCCGAGAGGTCCACTTGGGTCAGAGGAGGTAGACAAACCTGCAGAAATTTCCGTAGAGATAACTTTATTACTCATAAATTGGGTGAAGTAAATTTGCAAAAAGCATTTTGCTACTTACAGACCCAAAAGAAAAGTAAAATTGTTTTATGAGAGTGGATATTTTCTGAAGTAAATGGCTCTGCTAATTAGAATGTCAAAGTTCTGAAACATGTTCATATAGAATTAAAAGTGTTGTATAAATTGTTACCATTGTGTTGTAATACTCTGATTGCCTTAAAATTTTACCCTTCTGCATCTGTGTCAAGTACCCCTGTATAGCTCCTGATTTATTCTGAAGGATCTGATATCATTTATTTTCAAGTGCAGTACTTTCCTCTGCTTGCAGGTGGCACCTCTTTAATCTTCATAAAACCCTTAGATGGTTAACCCATTTTCCCTTCACTAAGAAATGGATAAGCAACCTCTAGGTGGTCAAATTATGAGTAAGTTATTTTACTATTCTGTATTTTCCAGGTTTTAAGTAATAAATATGTATTTTTTTCTTTTTTGAAAGATGTTAAGTACAGAAAAGTGCAAAGAAAAACATAACTAATACCTGTGTTCCCATAATCCAGAGCTCATTTATAACATTTATCATTAACAAAGTAATACTAAATTAGTAGCAGTTACGGAATGGAGGCATGAGATGATGTGCTTACCTGACAGCTTCAAATCCACTGGGTGGGCTTTCAGCGTGAGCTCCAGCCCTATAACCTTGGCGCTGCTGACTTTTTTCCTCATTTTTTTCTAATTATAAACAAAATAAAACATTATCTTGTATTACATTATGTAAAGAGGCAGACTGATAGTGAAATCTGAAGACAGAAGTGTACTAAATGTGTAAAAAGTAAAACAGTATTTTCTCAAGCCCAGATACTCCAGAGAGTAAAATCACCAGTAAGGAATAATTTTAAAGATGATGAAGATGCCTTTTTCCTGAAAATAATGGTATACAGCTTACTATGTGCTAGATATTGTTCGAGTGCTCATTTAACCTCGACAACAATGTGGTAGGGTTATCATTGTCATTATTGTCCTATTTTATGGATGAAGAAACTGAGGTATAGAAGGTATAAATGGCTTGCCTATAGTCACACGACTGGTAGATAGTGGAACTGGGAATATTAACCAAGAGAATCTAATTCCAGGGTCTATATGCTTAACCTCTATTCTCTACAGACCTCTCATAGGTGAAAATGTTAGAATCCCAATCCTAAATCATGTCCACCTTTCTCCCAGTATAACCCAAGGAATGTACCAGTTATCTACTGACTCATTAAAAACCATGCCAAAACTCAGTGGTTATAAGCAACGACAGTCCTCTATTTGGCTCACAAGTCTGTAGTTTGAGTAGGGTTCAACAAAGGCTCATCTCTGCTCCATGCAGTGCCAACTAGAACAGGTCATCTAGAAGCTAAAAGATTCACTTCCAAGATGGCTCATCCTAATGGCTGGTTGGTTGGTGCTGACTGATGCTAAGATTCAGCTAGGGATGACAAATGGGGGACATGGTTCCTTTCCACGTATGCCTCTCCACAAGCTGCTTCAACTTTCTTATAGCATAATGGATGGGTTTGTGAATGAAAAATACTGCAAACCATATCAGTAAACAAAGAATGCTGAAACCATCAAGTCATCAGCGGCTGCCTGCCGCTGCCCCGCCAGAAGCCAAGCCTGCAGCCCAGCTTCTGCAGCCATTCACAATGGTGCACTCTGAGGGGAACTCAGAATAATAAAGGGCAAGATACTGGCCCTAGATAGCTAGATGCTTGTCAAAGGAATGAATTCAATGAGCCCAAATGTTTGCTTCCTCCCATATGTAGAAAAGCACTAAATTCTTTAATTGAGATGCCTGGTTTTCTTTAGATAATAATCTTTTATTGTTCCAGCTACCTGGTATTTGTTGTAAAGCTCCTATATATCCTAGCTTCTCCCCTGCCTCTTCAGGGCAGTCCCTCAGAGCCATCTGAGAGGCTATCATCCTGGCTCGAGTTCTCTCGCCAAATAAAACATAACTCTCAACTTTTAGGCCGCACATTTATTTCAGTTGACAGGTTCCAAGGGCCAGCATCTCAAAGAGACAGGAAGTGGAGTCTGCCAGGGGCTGGAAACTGTTATAGCATCATCTCTGCCATATCCCGTTGGTTGAGCAACCCAGAGCCCAGATTCAGGGGTGGGGACGTGAACCATACCTCTCAATAGGAAAAGTGCCTAAGCATTTGGGACCATGTTTTAAAACCTCCTCAGTACCTATTAGAGTTCATCTCCAGGTTTGTATAGCTGGGATCCCTCAGCTTTTGTTGACCCTTTGGCTCCCAGTTAAATGAGCTGATCTCGGACTCTGTTGTTGCCTCCATACTAAAGTTATTCCTCTCATCCACACCCTGGAGACCTCATAAGCAGCATCCCACTCTGGGAAGGAAAAAGATCCACCAGCCCCATGCTCCACCAGTATTGACAGTGGTGTTAGAGCTCAAGCCTTAGACCGTGCCTCCTGCCACTCACAACAGTCCTCTTGTAGACTTCTCTGAAGTGTTCTGTTAGTTTCTCACAATATCCGGTCAACGCCATCATCTTAGAAGATGACACAGGAAGAAAGAACACACAATACTACTCTCAAAATCAAACTGTTCTCTGACTATTACCAGTCTTCCCCACCCCTGCTTGTGTTCTCTAACCCTCTTGCGTCAGGATGAATTCCTCCTGCAGTTGAGGCACTGAGTCTGTGAGGTTAAGAGGGGCCCCTAGGTGCCACCCCACCCCATCTCCCCATTTTTCTCATTGTTGCCATCTTTACCCAATACACATCTTGTTTGAGAGCCTCAGCTCCAGGCAACACAGACTACATAATTTGAGAGGCCCAGTGCAAAAAGAAATGGTGGGACCCCTTGATCAAAAAGCAAAAATAAGTGCCCTTCAATGTGCCAAAATATAAAGATTTTCTTTTCTTCAGTCTCTCCTGACTCATCATGGTGTTTTATTGTTGTAAATAAAGAAAAATTAAAATAAATTATTGGCATGAATTTTACCATTCATTTATGTAGATGCAATGTTAGTTTTAAATGCAAATATAAGAGCATTTACTTGCATGCAGAATCACCAAAATTTCACAATTCATATTTCATGGTCTGTATTTGCATATGTTTTTTTTTCTTACCAGACAGTGAAACACTGAACAAAACTAACTCAACTGTTTTTATTTTACTTCTTTTTTTAAAAATATGTAATTAAAATCCAGATTCTTGTGCTCGCCTCGGCAGCACATATACTGAAACTGGAATAATATAGAGATTAGCGTGGCCCTTGCACAAGGATGATGCACAAATTCGTGAAACATTCCATATTTTTAAATGAAAAATAAAAAATTAATTAATTAATTAAAAAAAAACCCCACCAGATTCTTTTATTCATTTCCAAACAGAAATTAGAGGTGGGTAGGGTATAGCTCAAGTGGTAGAGTGTATGTTTAGCATACACAAGGTCCTGGGTTCAATCCCCAGTACCTCCTCTAAAAATAAGTAAGTAAACCTAATTACCGCCCAGTCCACCGCCAAAATTAAAGAAATTAGAGAGCAAATGTAAATAAGAGTTTCAAATGACTGCTTCTCTGGGTACAGGGGTTCTTTTGGAGTGAAAGAAATGTCTTAGAACTAGATAGGGGTGATGGCTGCACAACTATTTCACTTTTTCATATACATACATTCTACCAACATGGTCTACCTTCAGCTTTCCAATGGCTAAGGAATGACTAAAAAGGAAAGCAAAAAGCAAAAAATGAGTTACCTATATTTCCCTTTCATGTCATCATTCTCACTTGGCTAATACAAGGATTAACATAGGTAAGAAAGGGTATGATAAGGTTCCTTGGTGATTCTTATTTGTTAGAACACCACTGCCTTTTTTTTTTTTTTCTTTGTTTTGGAGACAAATTCTGGTTCAAGCAGATAACATGGCCTCTGGGGGCTGCGATGGCCTTCCTCGTTACTCGGCCATAGATGCGATATGCTGCCTTGCACTTGCTTGGAGTCTATAGAGCTGTCCCCCCACCCCTTGTGAATCCACAGAAATTCTGTGCCTGTGGGCGTCATGAATAGTATGTGCGACTGGAACAGCAGTAAAGAGCAGACACATATATTGTGCATGTCTCCTCTGTTGCTGTGCGGCTTCTTTGTGCCAACAAACTTCACTTGCAAAACACAAGTTCAAAGATAGAATTATTAAGAATTTGAAGACTGCACAGCAGAGCATTAAACCTAGTGTGGAGCATTTCTGAGCTCAGGGTCTTGTGCTATTGGGTATGTTGTAAGTCTATGAAGCCCATTCTGGTTCCAGGGCCCAAATGCAGCTTCTCAGGGTGTTTATCATGTGCTGAGCAAAAGGCAGAGCCTGGGAAAGTACTGCGATATTTGGGGACATCATTTGGAATTAAAATCAATTTTCTTAATTATTTAATTTCTAAATGGCATGGATTATGCAATAGCATTATGGGTGGGGAACTTAGACGTTTTCTAACTGGCAGGTCTCTTCTATGGCCCTATCTATCATTGTTTGATTTTCTAATTTTCTCTTCTTTATCTGTTCTGTCTCTAGTTTACAATTATAATTACCATTTAGTAAAATGCACAGGTCTTAAGTGTCCAGCTCACTGACTTTTTACCTATGTATACACCTATGTAACCACTGCCTGGGCATGATATGGAATATTTACATCACCCCAGATAGTTCTCTTATGCCCATTCTCAGTCAGTAACCACCAATCACTCACCAAAGTTTGCCACTCTTCTGATTTCTAGTACTCTAGAATAGTTCTGCCTCCTTGTCTTTTCGATAACTTTATTTAAAAAAAAAAAGGAATCAAACAGTGTATATTCTTTTGTGTCTGCTCTGCATAATGTTTTTTGAGATTCATCCAGGCTGTTGCAGGTAGAATTTATCTATTCCAGTGTTAATGAACATTTGAGTTATTTCTAGGTTGGGGCTATTATCAATTAAGCTGCTCTAAACATTCATGTTAAGTCTTTATGTGAACATTTGTTTTCTTTTCTCTTGGGTAAATACTTAAGAGTGAAAATGCTGAGTCATACAGTGGCAGATATTTTACTTGAGTAGAAACTGCCACAGAGTTTGCCGAAGTAGTTATACAATTTTACACTCTCACCAGCAATGTATGAGAACTCTCTTTTCTTTTGCTTCTTCCTTTTTCTGTTTTGCCTCCTTGCTTACCCAGCCTCATAATTGTTCCCATATAATTGAGAAGAGAGCTGTTAATTTAGGAACAAACTATGGTTATAGCTAAAGAAGAGAAGGAACTGAAAGTCTGAGAAGGTCCTCAGCAATTTAGTAGTATCTTAGTACTATCGCAAAGAAAAAGAGTGTGTGTGTGTGTAGAGGAAATGTGTATTCTTCACGTATTCTTAGATAATTTATGGGACCAACTAGGAACTGGGAACTTTAGGAACATTGAACTTATTCCCCTGCTCTTTATATTTCAATGTAATCTTAAAAAATTAGCCATCCCAGAATAATGGGAGTCATTATTTTATTTAAAAAATCTGAGATATTTACAGATGGTTATGATGTGCAGCCTACATGTGACATTTGTAGAAGAGATAACTTAACAGATAGTACCAGATAATATTATCTGTTTTTATTGAATTCACTGAATAGTTTATTATTTAAGAGGCCTTAGCATTTCCTTTATATTTTCTTCAACAAAATCTTCCTTGTTTGTAAAATAGCTACAACATTTAAGATATGAAAAAACAGATACAGATATGTATACTATATATATATTTAAAATAACATTGCTAAGATCCTATGTCAAAGATAGAAGATAGCCCTAATATACAGCTGTGATTACCTGACCTGTCCAGTTTAAAGGGAAGCTGGGACATTAGGGGTTGCTGGTCAACAATAAGTGGCTGAGGGACCTGATCCCAGAAGAGGGCAGCCAAGAGCTTAGGAGAGACTGGGCTGAGACCCAGGGTGACTATGAAAGCCATTCTTGTCCATTGTGGAAATTCCCGGGGAGATATAAGACCAATTTGGGGCATAATGAACTCCAACTTGACTAGACTAGGAATTAAAGTTAGCAGAGGAAGCTAAGAACCAGCCCGAGCATCCCAGAATGAGAGTAAGAAAAAGCAGAAAGTTGCTGGCATGTGTCAAAGTCAGGGGCAAGAGAGAGATGATAGATCAAGATCCACGAAAAGAACAGATTGACTCACAAGTTTTTCTATTATTTTTATTATTTTAATGGAGGTACTGTGGGGATTGAAGCCAGGTCCTCGTGCATGCTAAGCACACTAAATATGCTGAGCTCTACACACTCCTATCCCTGCTGCTCTTTCTATTTTTTAAAAAATATTTTCCCTTTAAAATATTCACAATCATTATGATACCCTGGAAATTATAAGAAAGGTTCATTCTGATGATGAGTTTGGGGGCACTTTTAGGGATGGAAGCCAGAAGAAAGTTGTGATGTACCATTGTACCAGGCCTTTAGTCTCTCTTGAAGTACTTTTGAGAGTAAGGGCTAATGCTCAATTAAAAGCCATCTAGATGGTAGCTGGAGTCTCCTATGTTACAAAACCTAGACAGGATTGGACTGAATGCTCACTGCTTACTGTGGGAAGTCCAAAGCCCCTTCTGAGACTTCTGTGAATCTCTGGGAGCGAGGAGGCAGGTGTTGGGTATTACAGTCTTGTGGTCACCCTTATGTATGTAAAGCAAAGCATTTGGAACAAATCTTGGCACGCTTTACAGGTGATCATTATTTCCCCCTCTTCATCTTCTTTCTCCTTCTCTTTTGCATCCTCCTCCTCTTTATTACTGTGATGACCTCTGACTCTGAGTTCCTGCTTCCACTGGACACTGGCCAGTCAATGCACTGTCTCATCATTTCTTACTCAGGTTACACATTCTGCACCACTTGGATCCATTGGTGAGTTCCATTCCCTTTCTCAGTTGATACACACTCAAAACCCCACAACGCCCGTCTCCCCCCCAACACACATGGGTGTGTATATCTGTTAACTTGAAATCTTTTTCCTTTTATCAGAATTTAGTGAAAATTTGGGGTGCCAAATGTGATATGAATACTTCCAGCTCAGCAATGAACTCCTTCCACTTGAAAACTAGGCACTTCTTAAAAGCCCTTTCCCCAGGAGCTGTTCTATTGGCTTCCCATCCATATAGAAGCTCAGCAACACTCTGGCTGACTTGTTTCTCTTCCTTTCTCCTGGGTCCTTTCTCTTTAGCACACTCTCCTTCCTGATTGCAGTCCCATATGCAAATTCTTATGCAGAGTACATAGTTCTGGCTGGTGTCTACTTCCAAGCTAAGGTCCAGACCCACTTTTGCATATTCAAACCCATCCAAATATTCAGCAGAATGAAAAGGCTTTTATTTACCATGCTCTATTCTCCTTCTCAGGACATTGGTGATTGTAAATTTCATTTTCTACCTCTTCTTTGCACAAGGCAGGTAGAGTGAGGGAGATTTAGTAGGAAGGTACTGGGAGAAAGACAAACTGGGATAGAAGTGGAGCATCCTAGGGAAGAGATTAACATTTGGAGAATAAGTATCCATAGTAACATGGCAATTTCAGTCTGGAAACTCCAAACTTAGAGGAATTCCATTTGTAGGGAATTGAGGCATACTAAGAATTCTATCCAAAACAAATCAAAGGAGAGGAAGAGTAGAGACAAGACCCCCTCCAAACGGGGCTAATGGCTAAGATAGTCAACCAACTCCACACAGTTATAGTCTTCTCTTGGTATTCAAGGGGTATTGGTTCCAGGACCCCCTGTGGATATTAAAATCTGGTCATGCTCAAGTCCATTATATAAAATGGTGTACTACAGTTGGCCTTCAGTATCTGCAGATTATACGAGAGGACCTGATAAAACTTGCCCATATTCCTGGCGCCTGTGTTGTGGGGCCTGAAGAAAACGTATGGAAGAAACCCCAAACTTGAAAAATCCACATGAAAAGGACTTAAGTAAACATCCTAGCTGCTTGATATGGATCTGAAGATGCTCTGACACCTATGGTATAAGTAGTATTTTTTCCTTTTAGGGAAACAACTGTGATTAAATAAAACTTACTGCTATCACTCTTAAAGAAGTTGTGCTAATCACTATGTACTTCCCCTTCCCACAAAATAAATTATACCTATTACAACAAGGATAAAGAAAATGTAATGGTAATATAATTTCACTGAAAATGTCTGATAACGATAGTATAGAGCTCATGTAGGAAGACAAACGGACCAATGTAACAGAATAGGGGTCTTAGAAATATAGGGAAATTTGATATTTGAC